TTTTGTTAGTTTCATAAATTTTATATTAAAAGAAACAAAATTGAAAAAAATGTTTATTTTTCATGAATTTGTTATTTTGTAATTTATATGAATTATTTTCATTTTGATCTTTAAAATACCTAAATTTCTAATTATCTATATATTTTGTTCCATCTGAAGATATATTTTTCATTGAATGATTGATGTCTTGATCAGTTACTCAGTCCTTGAGTAGTGTTTTTACCAAATACTTGTTCACTCTTTTTTACTCTTTACTTACACTGTCACTTCTTAGGTGGCTACTTTTTAAGTAGTGCTACTGTTACTTGAGTGCAATTTTTGGGTACTCTACCCACCTCAGCAAATACTTTATGAAAAAAGTATAAGTACTTGAGAAATTGCATTTATGTGAAAATGCACTGTGACTGCTGAGTTCTGAATGACTGTTGAAATTTGCTGAAAAATGCGAAACAGGTGAAAGGTAAATTGAAAAAGCTAAAAGCTAACTGTAGCACACTGCTAACCAAAAGTTAAAATATCAAAATAGCCAAATGTAAGAACAAGCTAGCTAAAAGTAGTATCGAAACCTAAAAGTAGCAAACCACTCATTAAAAAAGTAAAATACTAGCTAAAAGTGGAAAATCGTTTGGAAATGGTAGCTGTACATTTAAAAGTAACAAAAGATTAGAAAGGTAAAAGTAGAAAAATGCTCAAACTAGTGTGTGTAGTACTAGCAGTAGCACAAGTTAAAATAGCATTTGTAGAACTAGCATAGACATAAAGTAATTAGCAGGACTTTCAAGTTTTGAACTGTTGTCAACTCCTCAGTAAGAAAAGTTGCTTTCAGCCTAAAAAAACTGCTAAATAACATCATCGTCCAATTTGCATATTTTGACTTTTACAAACAGTTGTCCTCAGGGCTGGATGGTATTTAACATAGGAGAAAACTGTGTAAAATCACTGGTGGGGGGTCTGGGGGTCCTCCCCCAGAAAATTTTGAATGAATTAGACGCCATTTCCTGCATTCTGGTGTATTTTAACAGGCTGTTAAACAGACTTTTACACAAGTAAACACTTGGTGAGTATTCTATAGGTCAAGCTGAAGGGGTTCTCAAACATGTTGGGTCTGGAGACCACAAGAGTGAAAAATCTGAGGGACCCCCTCATAAAAGCCATGCTGTTTTAAAAATATTATTTTAATCCCTGAATTCCCTGGGAATAGAAGAGAAGAGTCATTTGCAGCTGGGGTGGCTGTGTGAGGCTTCAGAAGTAGACTGGTAGAAGTAGCTGTGAGTGTTTATTAATTTATTTCTTAAAACCAACAAAAACCATTAAAAACATCAAAGTAAATCAATTATTGAAAAATAAAGGGGCAAAAAGAAGAAGAAAAATATTGTTAAAAACCAACTTCCTCCAAGCACTAACATCATGTGAGGTCTTTGTTATAAACTTTGACTGCAGCCCTGCTTTAAAAATATCCAGGTTATCCCTTTATTTAACACGGCTCTGACACTGATCCAGCTGTTTGCAGGTGATGTGCTGCACGCTCATCGTATCCTCGTGAGAACGGAGTTATTAAACTATGATAAAAACATAATTTGTGCAGGTGGAAAAGTTTGGTCTGAGCTGGGGTCTCGTCTCACCTGCTGCAGCTTTTTCTCGCATCACGCAGCGCGGACGAGTGATTGACGGGAGCGCTCGGCTCTGAACGCAGCGTGCATGTGTGCAGGAATAAAAACACAAAAATAGGCGGAGATGGATCTTTTTAGACAAAGTGAGCGCTTCATCTGAACAGGTCTGTCCAGCCAGAGAGAGAAACATTGAGCTGCTCAGTTCCTTCCTTTCCAAAAAGTGTGTGTGCGCATTTGTGCGAGTGTGTTTTAGCATGAGAAATGCAAAGTGTGGCGTGTGCATGTCCTGAAATGTGTGTGTGTCTCACGGTCAATGCAGTGTGAGACTTGAGAGCCCTGGTGATTAGCATTACTTCATTTAGCATTAGCAGAGTAGCAGCAGTGGGAACCAGAAGAAGTGGAATTAACATCTCCTGATCAAGTTGAATGGTTAAAATAGTACCCAGTTTGCAGAAATCATTGGATGGTAAACACACATGCTGGTTCAGCATTCACACAAATATGTCCTGTTATCTACTGAGCAGCTCTTTCTTTACCTTGTATTATCCAGGTCATCCTTTCTACCTGCATGAGCTTCTGGAGGATAGTTTACTGCACCTGCCTGAGTTTGTGAAGCCCCCAAGAGTAAGTTCAGTCCTTGTACTTTTTATTACTATTACTACATAAAAGTGGGCGATAATGGTTTTGTGTACATGTGTCTTTAACCAAAATATCACATGAACAACAAGGTGGACTGTACAGAGAGCTGAAGTCATTAACATGTAATCAGAGCAGGACATCTCATTATAATGAAGAACTTTATTGGGGTTGTTTACTACTGACTTTTAAAAGCACCACACATTTTATAGTCTTTTCTTAGGTGAATAATGATATATTTTTATGAACTGTTGTGTGACTAGTTTTGTGATTAAATGGATGATTTTGTGCAGTGTTGTATAAAGTACCAGAAAGTGATACTTCAGTAAAAGTACAAGTATCTTACCAAAAAATTACTTTGGTAAAAGTTAAAGTCTCCTTTAGGAATATTACTTGAGTAAAAGTCTTAAAGTATCTCATATTTTTTGTACTTTAGTATTAAAAGTAAAAGTATTGATTTAAAATGAGCAGTTAGATTTTCTGTAAGGACATTTTTTAGTAGGTGACCTCCCCAAAAACTGCAGAAATGACCGTTGTATTAAAATAATTGATGTTAAATTTAGGATGAAGTCCAGCTGTTTCAGTTTATATACATATATCAAGGCTGCACAAAGCTTTTCCCCAAAATGAAAATCTATCTGAGGGCTGCGGCCAAATGTAA